AGGAACTTAYGGCTTCATGAAGGAACACAATCATTAGATAACGTCAAGCCCCTCATCTTCTTGAAATACCTGTGGGTAGTCTAGTAAGAGCACTAGYACAGTCATTCTCTTAAAACAGGTTTAGGCATGGTTTGCAAATGTGATAATTAGTTCCAAGTCATCTGAAGGTTGGTGCCTTAGTGAAGAAAGTTGCCAATCTAGTGTAAATATTATTWATCCCAGTTAACCAAATTAAAACTCCTAGGTTTTAGAGCAGATCATAGCATTCTCTAGAAAACTTTCATATAGATAGAAGAACTTATGCTGGACATGCTCAGGTAGCATGAAACTGGAATCCTCTGCTTTAGAAAGGAAGGAAACGTGGTTAGCAAAGACTTCAGATGCTTCAAAAGCAATGAAATACCAGACAGCCTTCAATTCTTGTGGAAACACTTGCACTCAGCTGTTGAGTTGGGATGATACTGTGACACTCTGAAGATGGAACATCAGGCTGTGGTAGTCTCAGCTGAGCTGTCTGATGTTCTGTTGTCATCCCCTGGTTTGCAGAAAATGGGTGAGGAGGAAGRCTGCTTGTTTCTGGCAAAGGGTGGCTTTGGAAGTAATGCTGCTGTCTTCTCTAATTGTTCATTTGGAGTACTCAGATCAGTTTCTCATGCCCRCAGAGATAAAAAGAGAGATATTCAATGGTCCTAATGGCTTCACACAGTCTTGTATGCAGAGGCTGTGAGACAACACCCTTCAGAGCAACGCTCTGAGARTCAGGTGCCTATTCTGGCCTGTAATTCCTGGTCCTGCCTATTTTTAAGAGAGCACAGATTGTATCTGCACTCATTATATACTGACCTTTGACTGCATCAGTCTATTAATCTTATCAGGCTTAAGCATGTATTATCCACTAGTCAAGACCCTGACTAGTACAAATTATGAGGGTTTTTTTCTCGTAATATCATTCATGTGCAGAGTCCTATTGACAGCAGCATAATTCCTCCACACTGCTGTGGATCCAGCTCCCAGCTGTCAGTTATGATTGTGGATACATTAAATTCGGTAAAGTTCTTTTCACTCAGTAGTGTATGAAAAGCTGCCATTTAAGGCCTAATTTGCCTAAGGGAATCTGGCAGCCTAGAAACCATGTAGAAGATGCTCCTTTGCTCCATAGCTGTATCTGCCCTTAAATAAAAAATGAAAATGAAGTGAAAGATGCAAACCTTAGGGCAGAACTATGTGTATGCTCACAATATCTCTCAGAAGAAAAGATACTGTATATTCTCTAAGATTTATCCTCTAAGACAGCCTTGGAAATTATTATCTTGGAGATAGTTATCATGTTTTATGTTGCTTCAACGCATGCTGACTGAGGTCCTCAGGATCAAGGTTTTGGAGACTTGCAGATAATCTGATTTARCTGTACACAGGTGCTGGATTCCTCTGTCAGTGCAGAGATTTGTAATATTTTGAGATTAACTCATCCATACGGTCAACAATGCTCTTGTCATTGTGTTTAGGTGGAATGAAATCACCCTTGTGTCATGCATTGACTCTCCACCTTTGCTTTGCTGTGTGCTCGAAGTCCAGTTTTGGTGCTCTGTCCTCAGAATCTAATAAACCTAAAGGTTGACAAACACTGGCTCAAAAAAAAAGGTGCTTTTTTCTTGCAATAGATCTTCAGCCAAATAAGGTTTTTTAGGTTTTCTCTCCCTTTCACTTTGGCTTCCTGGTCTGAATAATGATTAACTTTGGACAGTGCAGTGTGAAAGAAACTGAATAGAACAAGAAGAGTGAGTGGTTTGGGTGTAAAACTAAACTAAAGTTGGAATGTAAATATTTTTTCAGGSTTTTATGATGCAGTTGGGCATGAAATGATGAAATGGCTTTTCATCTCCACCAATTCCAGATGAGGAAGTTTTAGATAGCCTTGTAGTTTGCATTGTGGCCAAACATGGTTGGTCTGTATAAATCCTACCAATGGGAAGGGCAGTTCTTCTTTTAAATATACAAAGCTGGTCTGGTTTGAAGTCTGAAAAAGTTGAGGAGTTCTGATAGCCAAACATGCATCTTGYATTCAATATCCTATTGCACTGTTTCACAAGGGTTTTCAGTGAAGAATTAAATACATTCTCTCTTAAAGGTCCAAAGTAACCTTTYCTCCAAAGAGGAGGAAGAATTTCCTGCTCTCTATGAGAGATGCAGTCTCATACTTACAAAAAATTCCATTACATGACTTGGCCAATTACTGTCCACTACCTGATCTTCACAGTTTKATCCAGAGGGTGCAATACATCACTAGAGGTAACTTTTAAAGCATTTATTTGTTCCTAATCATTATTATTTTCTYGTTAGAGATTCAGTTTTGGTGTGGCATTGATAATACTGGTCAGGAAAAAGCTCACCACTMGTTGAAGGTCAAGCATCCATAAACTGTACCATTAGACTTGTTTGGTGCTCTCAGTGCCACAACTCACAGACTGCAGTTGACTTGCCTGAAGACTCTTGCAGTATCAGATGGATTGATTTTGTGTAGCTTTGAGGTTTTCTTTCAGCTAAGTAAACGATGTTGGCTGTGGGCAGCTGCAGTTGTCCTGTCATCTTAGCACAGAGCGTGGGTATGTATTTGGCTGGAGGTTGCTAGAATGGTTATTGAGGTATAGAAAGTGATATTTTCAATGTTGAGCAATGTTCAATCTCTCATTGAACCTAGTGCAAAGAATGCTACACACAAATTCTGGCAGAATGGTGTGCATGAAGGGAAAAAGAAAACAACTTGCACCAGTATGGAACTAATGGGTGATAGCTTGGAAAGGTTATCAAAGAAAATTGAAGAACAGTGTAATTCTGCTGTTGAGCTATCCAGTTTATATTAGTAAGATCCAGGTTAGAACAGACTGTATTTTGGCTGATTAGAATATGTTTGTGCATGTGGATTCACTGTTACATTAAAAAGTGTCTGTGCCTTCTCTGCATTACTGTTGCAAGTCACTGCTAATCAGGGATGGCAGTAGGTAATGTTTTTGTATGCTTAATTTGGAATTTTTTAATACATTTTCTTATAAGTACTTGGGGTTTTTTAAAGATACAATCAATAGTTTCTGAATGCTCTTATCACACAGATAAAGTTAATTATACACATTTTTCTTTTATCTAAATGCTACCTTTCCTATGAGGAAAGGCTGAGAGAATTGGGTTGTTCAGGCTGGAGAAGTGAAGGCTCCAGGGTGACCTTACAGTAAGTAAAAGGGAACCTACAAAAGAGCTGGAGAGGGTCTTTTTTTCAAGGCCCTGTAGYRACAAGACAAGGGGAAATTGCTTTAAAATGAAAGAGTGTAGGTTTAGYAGGAGGAAATTCTTTACTGKGAGGGTGGTGGGGCACTGGAACAGGTTGCCCGGAAAAGTTATGAATGCCTCATCCCTGGAAGTGTTCAAGGACAGGCTTGATGGGGCTTTGGGCAACCTGATCTAGTGGAAGGTGTCCTTTGACAGGGTGAGGGCTGTAACTAGATGATCTTTAAGATYCCTYCCAATCCAAATCATTCTATGATTCTATCATCATTCCAGGATGATTGTCTTCTGGAAATCAAGTTAAAACAAATCAAACCAATGTTGGGTGCCTTTGACCAAATTAAACAGTTAACATAGGAACTGGGGAATAAAGACTGGAAATGTATTCATATTTTAATGCTCAGGTTCAATGTATTTATGATGCACCAGCACAGTTGTGTATTGAAATCAGTATTCATAAAAGGCTGCAGCAGTGCCAGAGTAAAGTGCATTTGCCAAAGTCTTGACTCAATTGTATTTAGAAGTACATGTACTTTAAAATATTGTGTGCTATAAGCTGGAAACACCAGGTAGCATATCTACATGAGTCACATTTTAAAATTATAACACAAGTTCTCTACTTAATGATCTCCAAAGACAGCATGCTGGAAGAGCGTAACTTTCAAGAGTAACGGCATTGTTTTGCAAACTGACTATATTTCTCTGCAGCTCTCCCCTGGAAGATAGAGTTTTTGTCATTACAAAGGAAAAGCTGCCAAGCAACTTTGGTGAGTCCTCAGCAGGGTGCTCCTGAAAGTCTGTCTTGCTTGAATAACTTCCTGCACTTCACCTTTTAAAAGAGCCTTCTATCTGAGTATCAAAACCCAGCAGATCAACAGATTAGGCTCTACGCCCTTTCCCTGTAGAAGAAAGATTGAAGTGGAAAGTGTTTAAATTGCACCTAAGTGACAATTTAACATGGCTTATGCTGACTGGCTTATTGTAGGAACTATAGCCCCATGAAAACTGGAACCCACAAATAGTTTTTGGATGAGCAATGTGTAACAGTGCATTGTGTTTCTTCCCACAAAAGATTCAAAGTTGATTGGTTGGTCTTGTTTGTTTTTTATATAGGAAAAGCAGGGGGGGAGGGGGGTGCAAAGAGGGCTTAGGAAGAGTGAAGGGGAAAAAATTGAACAGAATCTATGACTTTGAGCATTGTGTGAAGTAATCTTGTTTATTACACACCCTGTAAAAAGGTATTTTTAGGCTTGCTACTGCAAGCAATTGTAAGCCTCTGTGCTCTCAAAGGACAAAACTTGTAATCTGAGGCAATCATAATTCAAATAACTTTTAAGAAAGCCTTGTTGATTCTTGCAGGCACTATATCTTAACATTTTGACTGTAAGCAAGCCTAGAGCATGTGGCCATAGAAAAGGAAGAGCTGCTGAAAAAACAATTCTGTAGTCGTTGGCTCTGGCATTGCAATTGTTTGATGGGGGGTTTTATAATTAGATCTCTTGATTTATACATTGAACAATTGTTCAGCTTAGAGGTCACCTCTGAGACAAAYCTCCTGAAACTGAGAGAAGTTGTGTCATTGAACTCAATGCATTCAAGACTTYTCTTTCTTACAGTGGCTGGAGCTGAAGAAGTTTTCCCTGGGACAATCCTCGCCGAGTTGACTGGGATGATGGAATGAGTATAAAGAAGCTGGGATTCGGTGACTTAGAGCTCCTCGGGACTCAGTAATACCCTGGTATCGTTCCTGCTTTCACCGCAGAAGGACGGCGAGCGTTYGGGAGCTTGGCTTTGTCCGGGAGGCCGCGAGGCGCTGGGGCTGTGTTGGAAGTCCTTCCCGAGCCTTCCTGCCCCCTGGCTCGCCCCCTCCTCCCCAGGGCCGGCCCCGGCTGCCGGCTGCCCCCGCCGCCCCCCTCCCGCGGGCTGTCCCGGGCGCTACTTGCCATGGACACGCGGCGTCCCGAGGCGGCGGGCGGCGGGCTGGCCGCGCCCTCCTCACGGCGCTTCCCCTCCGAGCCGGAGCCGGAGCCGGAGCCGGGCCCGAGGCCGGGGCCGTGGCCGGAGCCGCGGCGGGAGGCGGTGCTCTCGCTGTCGCTGCCCGCCCGGCTCCCGGTGAGGACGCGGGAGAGGAAGCTGGACTTGCGGGTGCCCGGGCAGTGCCCGCTGTCCGGGGAGTCGCCGCGCTCCTCATCCGGATCCCGGCAGGCGCTCAC